TGTATGTATGTATGTATGTATGTATGTATGTATGTATGTATGTATGTTTTTCCCTAAAGCGGTTCTTTCTCTCAGCTTCAGTCTCAATGCCCTTTTGGCATATGCCCCGCAGCTGCCGCAGTCCACCATGCTGGTCTATAGAAGAAGTCCACTTCGAGGATCTCATCCCGTGCGCTTTGCTCTTCCTCGGCCGATTCTGAGCGACCTGAGCTGCTGCCAGGGTCAGGTGGTGCTCTTTCCAGCACGTCACCTTCATCGGTGTGCTCTGGACCTGCTGTGAGGCTGGGTTTCATGGCCTTTGCAGGTGGCTTCAGCTGTGGTGGCTCACTCGGCTGGCGCTGTGAGGTTTGTCCTCACGCTGAGAGGCTGAGTGTCATGGCCTGCGCAGGAGTATTCTCTTCCTCACACTGAGTGAGTTGTGTGGAAAAGTGGAGCCTCTGTGGTCTGCAAGCCTGCACTGTCAGGAGTGGCTGCCGCTTGCTCTCTTTCTGGTGTAGGCTGAGTGGTGGGCTTGAAGAAGGAGTGGATCGGCGGTGATCCTTTCGGCCCCGCCCTTTTGCACTCCTTGTGGAAAGGTGGCTATCCAGATGGAGCTGGAGCCCGCACTGGGCGCACCGAACTTGGTGGCCCTTTTGCCACAAGTTGTGGCTTGGATGCCCTCCATGTGGTTCCTGGAGGGCTGGTCAAGGCAGGGGCCCTGGACAAACGCCTGGAAGGCCTGCTCGTTGGTGCGCTTGTGGACATTGACGCCACATCTCTGGCACTTGAGGTATCCCTTAGTTTCTTCCAGGATGTGTTTGTCCGGAGCCCGGAGCTGGCGGTGTTTCCTGCTGGGCCTGGAGTAGCTGGTGAATGAGCTGGGTTGGCTTTTTGGTCAGCTCAGGCGCCGAGGGTGGGACTGCCGGTCGCTGCTCGTCGAGTTGCAGTTGTGGGCATTGTTCAAGGTACTGCAGTGGTAGCCACTACGACGAGGTTCCCATCTGTGGTGCTGGGTTGCCACGGCTGCCGGCATTGACTGACCAGATCTTTCTTTCGTTGTTTGGTCTGCTTGCCTTGGTGTCTGGGCGCCTTGTCATGGATGTAATGCTCTTTGTTGTCAAAGAATTTGGGAAGCCTTTGAACGGCGTGCTTGTAGATCAAGGTGTTGTCTTGATCGACCGTCTTTTGCCATTCGGTCTGTCGTTGGTCACGCATGTGATTTGCTCTCTCCCATGCCACTAGCGCAGCATCTCTCTGGCGTCTGCGGAGCTGAGGCTCGTTTCCTGCCCGTCAGGTGCGCGCGTGTTCCTGCTGACGTAAAGCACAGTGACTCTCTGCCTGTCCGAGGTGGTGAGTTCTTCCAAGAGATCCGGGAAAGGCTGGCGGCGGTGGTGAGTCTGCCAGGCTTCCCACACTGAGGCGAGCTGCACAATGACCTTGACTGGGGTGGTTGTGTGCCTTGCCAGAGCAACCAAACCTGCAACCAAAGCTCGTGCTTTTGTTTGGTCACCGGTGGGGATGCCAGTGATGGCTCCCAAGCGCTTGAGCTGGCCCATGCTGAGGGTGTGGTCACAAAGGCCAAAAACCCATAGTTGACTTCTGGCATCGTAGGTGGACGGGGCGGCGTCCAAGGTGAAAGCCCATCCAATGTATTGGTGGGGTGCCAGCGGTTGCAGGGTTTGGCAGGAGCCATGGCCTTGATATGGATGGGCTTGTTGCCTATGCTCTTGAGGTTCAAGAGGTATCCACCCAGTTGACCAGAGTGGTTCTTCTTCTGGGCAGGTGAGGCGCTCCATCCATTCTGCTGGCATGGGCTCGCGCTTCTGGATTTTGCGCCGCTTGAAAAGCCAGGTTGGTGTGGCTGGTACATGGCAGATTGGACACTGCTTGGTCTTGGTGTCGTCTCTGAATTGGACTGCACCCTGGACCCATGTCTTCAGGATGGGTTTGTGGTTGGCAGTGATCTTCTTGCGCAGTTTTTTGCACACATGCCAGTCCAAACCTGAGATCAGATGCTGGTGGTTTGTGCGGCTGGCGAGGCGCCGGGTGCGCTGTTGTCGTGCTTCGTGATGCAGCGCCTGCTCTACCTTCCACCAGGGAGAGTTGATAGAGATCTCATTGGCCAGGAGGAACTGGTTTTCAGCTCTGGTCCATCGCATGAGCTCATGGGTGTCCCACTGCCATTCTTGAAGGTATTGGATGGTGGCTGCCATGGGTCCTCTGGCCATGTACCAAGGGTATTGCTTGGTCTGGAGACGGTGGTGTGTAGCAGTCCAAGCCTGCTCGAGGGCTGTGATCTGGTCAGGAGGCCATGCATGGATCAGCTGGTACATGGCTTTGACGTGCTGGATGATGATGTGATCCCCGGGATCAAGGTATTTGTCACTGCGGTAGTCGAGGGCGCTATCCAGGAGTCCGCCCTTGTGGTGACCAAGGTGTTGCGCCATGGCTTGTCGAAGAGCCGCGCGGTATCTCGGGGCCAGCTTTCAACTCCCCATTGCGCCACCGGTTGGATACCACCACGGTGCAGGCGGAGTCTGACTCTGAGTGCTGGGATCTTGAGTGTGCGCAACTTGAGGCGTCTGTGTTTGGCCTTGTTCAGTCTCTGCTTCATCGCTGGCATTCTTCTGCGCCGGCCTGCTGGATGGTCGATGCCGAGATCTCTCATGACTGGGGGTTCATCATCTCGGAGCAACTTCTGAAGCTCCTTGTCAGTGACTTTGTTTGTGGCAATGAAGGCTGTCTTCTTGGGATTGACTTTGAAGGCCAAGTGCACTGAAACGTTGATGGAGATCACGATAGGCTTCGACTGCATGGGCTTTTGCCTGCAGTGTCAAATCCCACATCGTCAACCCAGCTGGACAGGTGTGCCTGTGCGCGCTGTTGCTGCCAGGGTGTCAGTGCTGGAGCCAGGGTTGCTTTGGCCAACAATGGAGCCTGGGGGCAGCGTGCCGGCACACCACTGCTGACCCTAAAGAATGGAGTCATTTCCTGTTCTGCTACTATGGCCTTGGGTCCTGTGTAGACCTGCATTGCTAGCTCTAGCAGGAGCGGCGGGTAGCGCAACTTGAGGGCCTCTTCTTGAAGACGTTCCAGGTTGACGGCGGCATAGAACGCGGACATATCTATTAGGATTGTGACTCCGTGCAGCCCGTTGGCCTTTTGGACCTCCTGACGGAGGAGTCTTTCCAAGGCAACTTGGAGGACATTGGCACCTGGGCGGGCACGATCATGGTTCATGGAAGGTGGTAGCTTTTGCCACTGGTCCAGCGGGGTTTCCTCCTCCTGCACCACACTCGGTAAAGCACTGATGTGAGTGTGATTCTGCTGTTTTTTGGGAGCGTGAGCACCATATGCATCTGCAGCTGGGTTGGTAGTTGAACTTGTTGTTCCATTTGTTGAAAGAGCTTCAACAAAGGGCCCCGTGCGAGGGGTGGTGCATTCCGGAGCAACTGTGCGGAAAAGGCATCTGGTCCGCTTGCTTTGTCAGGAAGGCCTTTGAGCACTTTAGCCAGTTGCCCATGGGTGAGGGGCTCCAGCTGTTGCCTGGCCTGCTGTTGGAGGCTTGTTCTGGGAGTCGGGACCACATGCGCTCCTCACCATGACCTTCAACATTGAAGCTGCCACCAAGGAATACCGCCAGATCCAATATTTCCCACCCTTGCCACCAGACATCGACTTCAGACCTTGGACAACCTACCAGTCCCAGGCATTTGAACTTGACCTGTACGGCAACCCGATCAACGACACAGCACAGGCATGTAGGCAGCTCAAGGCCGAGGAGGCAATTTGCACGTGGTAGTCAAGCCACTGGCGCATGGAAAAAAGCGAAACAGCCTATTGGGAGCAACTCCAAGCTCGACGCCGACTGGCCTCAAGCAGCCACCAGAACAACCAGGTGGACCTTGCAAAGCCTTCATGACAGCCATCCAAGATGCTCCCAAGCATTGGCTAGGGCCACCCACTTGGGGACAATTCCTGGACACCTGCCACCACTGGCACCGCTACCGAGATCCCCATGCCGGAGATTTACTCCTCCACACCATTGAACACCAGCTCAAAGAAGCGCAACAGGCAGCCAGTGATGAGTCCCACCTCCAATACAAGGATTGGCTACAGAATGGACCGGCCAGAGGCCTCAAAGGCCTGTTTCGCGGCCTCTATTAAAGAGCAGTGAACTTGCTTGTTGGGAGAGGCCATACAGGGACATCCCACATGGATCACCGCCTAAAAGACTCCATGGGATGGCCCAATCCGTGGTCAAGGCGAAATTTGGCCGGGAGCACCGCACGGGCTATGCTGCTGGGCGGGTTTTGCCCGTCTCCAACGATGACAAAAGGGTGGGTCGTGGCCTGCAGGAGACTCAGGAGTCGTGCAATGATGGTGGCATTGGTGTCACGTTGAAGACTCTCATTCGTCTTGAGCTACAAGCCAGCCACCAAGATGGTACACTCCGTGGCCTGCCACAAGAAGGCTTGGAACCCGCAGCCCTGGACGGTGAAGGTTTCTACGGCCGTTAGACCACAAGGAAGGGTCAGCCAACACCAGGACGCCTCCATGTGTACCTCTGTTGTCTTCATTGGGCCACGCCGCCGTGCCAAAGGCGGTTCTGCCTCTGACCGTGAAGTACTGACAGGTCTGTTGATGACGAGTCCAGTACCAATCAATGACCTGCTTTCCCAGTGTGGTCACGTTGGCGCAGTGGAGCTGATTGCGTGTCTGCTCCAGTCTTGGCCGTTTTTTTGGGCTCGGGTGGAGGGGTGGACCATAGTCTGGTTCTTCAGGCGGTGGCAGCGTCTGGAGGACTTGTTGAGTAGTCCGGAAGGTGTCAACATGCACTGCCCAGATTTGTGTGACCTGGCTAGCTAGTTGCGGTGTCAAATGAGCCGGGTGAACCGGTGGTTTGCCATCGTCTGCAAGCCACATCAGGTCTCGGTAGGTGAGGATGGCAAAATAGTGGGGCCCCTGTGGCAGATGAGTGCTGCTGGCCCCTGGCACAAACTCGGAGGATGTGTGCGCAAAGCCATCCAATGAACGGGGCACAGTAAAGGTGCCATAGGGGTTGATGAGCTTGTTGCGCTGTGTTGTCACCCGTCAATGCACGTGTTCCTGGTGATGTGGCTGACGTGCACTGGTTTGTCATCCATGACAGTGTTGGATCGGGGTAGTCATCTCCGCAAAGCGGTAATGCAGAGCTCTCGTCTGAGACAGATTCCATAGTGAATTGACAAAGTGGTTCGCGTCTCCTTGAATGTTCAAGTCGCGTTTGGTCCACAGCGGCTGCAAGCCTGGAAGCTGATGCAAATCAACAGCCTCTGCCAGTTCCATTGATTCCTGCACTGCTTCTTGCAAGTTGCCCCATGGTTGGGTGTGGGTCTCTTGTAGTAGCGCACATGCCCATGCGAAGGCTCGCCAGGGTGCATTGGCGTAGCACCGTGCACTCGGGTTGCACACTATCCTGGAGAGGTTCTGCAAAATGCATTCAGTCGTGGACGCATAGGTGCGCTGCATCCTGTAGCCGGCCTGGATGCTGTGGCCGTCTGAACTGGTTGGGAGCGCTCCACCCTTGATCGGGATGACAGCTGGTCCTGGCGCCCCAAGCATAGGTCCACCCACGCCCTGTCCAAGGCTTGTGAAGGTGTCAAAATCTTGCCAACTTGCGTTGGTGGCAGTTTGTGAAACATTGGGTGGCTCGTAGGTGTTCTCCCCTTCACCTGCGCCTGAAAAGTCCCCATGTGGTGCTTGAAAAAGTGGGTCTTGTGACTGTTCCCCTGCACCTTGACAAACATCTGACCGCCCCCGTTGCGCTGAGCCAGAAGCAGCACGGCAAACCCATGTGGTGTTTGGATCATCATCAAAATCGTCCATGGGGACGGGCACCATGATCCCTGAGTGGTCCCCGGGAAGGTTGGGGTGGTGTTACCCACATTGTCCTCCTGGTGGCAGTACTGCCGGTGCCTCTGTTTTTTGCGTCTCTTCCTGCGCTCATCCTCGTCGATGCTAGGCCGCTTTAGCAGGCCGTGCAATTGACTGCGTTGGTCATCAGTCAAATCAATGAGCAGGCTGGAGACAAAAGTTTCTACCGCTATCGGTATTGGGAGTTCCGTCTCAGCAGTCTTGGTGAGCTCTTCTGGCATTGGGCTTTGATTCACAGCCTTCATGTACTGCTCTGAGAGGGTCTTCAACTTTTGCTGTCCTCCCGTCAGCTTTGTTTGGAGCTCTTGCATGTCCTGCAGCATGGCAGCATACTGAGACTTTATGGCGTCGAGCTTTGCCTGTAGCTGGGTCTTCTTGATGGAGATGGACTTGAGGTCTGTGACCTGGGTTTTCAACTTCTGGGCAATCTCCTTCTCCGTGTCTGGGATTGGTTGGGTCAGCTTGTTGACTACGTCCTGAACTGCCTTGGGTAATGCATTGAAGTGCGTCTGAAGGACTTCCAGGTTCCTCCGGCTGGGGTGGCCCAAATCCCAAGGCTTGGAGTTTGCTTTGAATCTCACCTGGAATGACATCCCACGTAGTGGCGAGGAGGTCAGCCTGCCGTTTGCTGGTTCTTGCCCTTCTTGAGCGGCCTAAGCTTTTGTAGGCCAGGTGGTGGGTCCAGGAGCGCTTCAGCATAGGTCTTTTAGGGCCACGTGGCCTTGCTGGAAACCTTTCCTCGGGCGCCGTGTCGCCTTTTCCAGTGGGTTGATGAGCTTGTTGCCACCACGTGCCACACTTCCTGCATCGTGCGCCAGGATTCAGCTTGTCGGCCCAAATCCAGTTGGCGCAACGCTTGTGTGCGCACACTGTGTAGCTTCGACACCATGAGCTGGACGGCGTCATCATGCACAGATGCCCTCGCCCTCCGTGAACTGGCCTGGAAGGGTCTTTGAGATGTAGGGATCACGGGCAAAGTGAACAGGTAGTTCAGAAAGTCCCCAAGGCCGGAGGTGTGAGTAGTGGGTCAAGTCCTGGATGCCGCAGGGGAGCTCAGCCAGGTGCTGAAGAGCAAGTCAAAAGCGAGGAAGAGGAGGTCGTTAGATCACGGGCAAAGGAAGTTGGTAGATGTCCTTGTTCCTGAGCCGTGCGGGATGTCGTAGTCCTCGCTATGCTTGCGTGGGGGCGCCGCACCAGGAGGGCTTCGTGGGCTGCCTCCTTGATCCACTCGCGGCTTGAGCCATGCATGTATGTATGTATGTATGCGTATGCATGCGATATTCTGTGCAACTTGCATGTCCGGCAATCCTACTCATCTTCTCGCTCCTCACTGTCTGCGCAGAACTCAAAACTGTTGAAATATCCCTGATTGAAAGCAAATTAATGCGGGCAGCATGTCCAAGCCATGACATACAACTGAAACTCATTCTTCTCTCCGAGATTGGTAATTGCATTGCACTGCAATACATCAAAAAAACTCTTTGCTGACTCAAGTGACCACAGTGAAGACTCATCTTGTTTTGCGCCTCAATTCTCTATCGCTCTCAGATACCCCAATGCACCTTTGAGCTCCCCAGGTCGGAAGCGCTGGATTCGATGGTTATTGGTGTCCGAAACCTGGGCCAAAGGGCTTCAGAAGCTGAATTTAAGTTGTCATATTGGTTTTTAACCATGTTGGACCCCCAGAGGTGACAGCTCGAACGACGCTCCCACCTGCCGAATAACCAAAGCCAAGGCACCAAGCAGGATCCATCCTCCAAGAAGGCTACAGTGCTTGGGAAGCTCAAATGCAAATCTGTGCAGCCGCCTCAGACAGCAACTGGTAGGCTACGAACACGCACTAGGACCATCCACCATCCTGTAGTCCCTTTGCATTAGGCATGACACAGGCAAAAGTAGGTCCTGTGGAGACAAAGTGCAGGTGTGTCACGAGTACGGCACCAACTCAGCCGGACTGATTGCAGCTGCAGCCACATGAATTTGGCTTTCCCGCCAACAACTCGGGGGTCAGCGAATCTTTGCCGTACTTGAGCACCCGATGACCTCAAAGTCCACACAACACCTTCCATGCAATGTTCAGTTGTCCATACTTGAGAAGAGGGATACACGAGAGGTAGGACAGCGGGAGGAGAATAGAAACGTGTAAAATATGCAGTGTGGTGTTGGTGGAGTCGAGTCTGCAAACGTCAACTTGAGAGTGGGGGGAAAAACAAAGTGTGATATATATATATATACAGCTATACGATAATCCTCAACGACAAGAAGGACTAAAAACAACATCTGGCAAACCCCGGTGTCATGTCTCTTCATGGACTCAAACACTACCCCAAGCTTAGAGTGCTCAACGCCAAATAACCATTGACGTAATCCGCTTCGGGATGAAGCGGTCCGGTCAGGGCCGGGGGAGGGGGGGTTACTTGCTTCGCAAAACAAACTCAAGGTATCCCCTAGGTCCTACCTTTCGTGACATGGTTTTCCAGAAGATGTAAGCTGAACAAATGCGTTCCCGCATTCCCGCAGCTCCGGAACACAAAACACTGCAGGTCAATCACAGCAAACCCACCAGTGAAGCAGAAAACCGTGCGAACACAATCTTTGAGGCTTTCTGTCTGAATCATACACTTGCCACGGTTGATTCAAATTGTGATGTGTACTAAGACCGGCCAAATGAGCGAATCGTGGCCCGAGAGGCTCCAAGTGTCGCATATCACCAGACTTCCATCAGGATGATGCAGCATACACCGTGGGCGCCTCACGCTCTCCAGTGTGACAAATCCCTCAAAGACGTGGAGATTTCACTCCTGGTTGGAAAGAAAATAAAAAATGACATCCGGAGCATCTAAATAAAATGACTACCGGAAGCATCTAAATCCAATGACTACGGTCTCCATATATTACTGCTGGCCCTTGTACAGCTTCAGTCCCTCGCTTGATAGCTTCTGGCACAGCCAAGGACTTGGCCTCAGTCCAACGGGTATACATGCGTGCAGCTCCGCCAGCCGCACTGCAGCCACAAAGTCACATACTACTTAAATGTATGCTATGTGTGTGTGTATATTGTGTGTATGTAACTATATGTGTGTCTATACATAAAACTACTTGCATAAAACAAAAAGAAATATATATATATATACATATATGTGTGTGTATATATATATATATGCGTGTATATATTGTATCTTCATGTTCATTTGGCACGCTACTCTGATTTGAGCTGAGCGTTGCCCAGCTTTCACTGAACGCCCAAAACAATCATTCGAGCCTTACGCTCTGTGATGTTATCACAAAGGCCAACTAAGACATTGCGACGCACTCGCAGGAGCCGCCAAAAAGGATATCGCACACGCCTGCGCCAGCACTTAGGGAGGATGTAAGATTTTCGGGACTCAACAGTCGTCAATCAAGTAGGGAGCTATTCGACGACATATTCGATGAAAGTTTCGGTTTTCTATTGCATTGGTATGTTCGTGTGTGTATTGAAGGGAGGCGCACGTCTTTGGGCAAGGGCCACTAGGTTCAGCATATGTTGTTGGTTAGCCATGTCCATAGGTAGATGTGGGTTAGTGAGTGCGTATGCATCCTGGCAAGTTTCGAGCAGCCAATTAGCTCGCGGTTTGCCTACTCGTCAGGTATGTTCGATCCGACATGTGAAAGTTCCTGATTCGAAAAGGACTTCTCTCATAGGATCAAGAGGGGGCGCACGGAGAATGTGCCCTAACAGGTGAATTTTGTTTAGTTTCCATCTGTTCGAGAGACTGATGCCGGTACCCGAATTGTTGGGATAAATGTTCTATTATTCGTTGGTTTGTCCATGCTCTGTCAATATACGTGGAAGGTACCCTGAGAATTTTCCTCAGCATCTTCATCTGAAAAGCATCTATTGAGTTCAGTTCTGACTTTGTAAGTTGCGTGGTCTCTAGCCCATAAAGAAGCTTAGAACTCAGGGCGGCCTCAGACATTCGTAATCTCCACTTTACAGTTGTCCCAGCTTTGGACCAAAAAAGCTGTAGCTGTGAAGCCATGGCATTTACTGAGCCAATCCGACGTATAACTTCTGTATGATTATCCACGGAATCTGTCAACGTTGCTCCAAGATACAAAGAGCGGATCGTCCTTCCAAATGTCCGCACCACCGGGCCCTGTTGATCCACCACCAGCAGTTGCTCCCCTGGGAACAGCTGCACCAGCCGGCATTGTAGTTGGTGATGTCGACGAAAAAGGAGGCAAAGAAGTCCCCCCACTGTTGGCGCAACCGCCCCTGCATGTCCACCTGCTTGCCAGCTCGCGCTCCAGCTTGAGGAAGTCGTGGTTGATCTCCCAATGACTGTTTTCCCCAAAGAAGACAAACTTGACCTCGTGTCAGCTCCCTCTCCAGGTCCTCCGCCTCCCCATTTGGTTGTACAGCTTCATGGCACCCCGAGGGCATTGAGCTGCTCCCGCTTCCTTTCCTCCACTGCGTAGCGCATGGCCGCTGGCCATATCTGCGCGCTGCACCCATGTTGTCCCAAGAGAACCCTCGTTCTCCGTTTCACCTGGTTCACGGCCGACTCCACATGGCCGTTCGCGGCTGGGTCATCTCCCCCTGTTGTTGTTTGCGTGACCCCCTGAAGGGAAGCGGGGTCACTTCAGAACACAAGTTTTAGTTCACTTTGGAACACAGGGTTTTAGTTCGCTTTGGAACACAAAACATGGGTCACTTTGGAACACAAAACACACAAAAACATGGAAGGGTTAGCAAAAAGCGAGATCACTTTGGAACACAACGCACCTGATTTTTTGGTTCACTTTAGAACACAAAAACAGACACAGATGGGGAGGGTTTAAGGATGAAGGATGGGGTAGGGTGGGGGGGATGGGGTGGGGTGGGTCGCAGTTAGCAACCAGACAGTGCGACCCTGAAGTGCTGAAAAGGTTGCCAGATTGGACAAGGTCAACATCTTCACACACTTAGGATAGGGTGTACTGAACTGAAAGCGGTGCCACACGCCGGCCTAGGGTTCCAATTCCTAAGGGTACAAGTACGAACCACTGGAACCTGGAGGTCTTCAAGAGGAAGTAGGGCCCAAAAGGAAGAAGGCGAACGACGAATCGACAAGTTGACGTCGTAACGTGCAAGTCTGCAGCAACATGAAGTACCAAGTCTTTGAGGTTCTTGGCTTAGCCTCACGCCATGCGGTAAATTGGAAAATTGCAGGTACGTTCGGATGATCAGTCCGAATATCCCACTCTGTGACCTAGCTTCGTTGAACTGGGTCAGTCACAGAGTGCCCAGTTCCCCTGCTGCACAAGGAAAACAACTGGGAAGCTAAAACAATCCGAAAGGATCCCTATGATTCCAAGGGTTACACACACACGCCTCCCTGAGGGGAGGCAAGATTTTTAAGCTCCGCGCTAGGTGGTGTGAGACTCTTCGTCCCCAAGTAGTGGTAAGGCCAGTAACCTCTAGTAGTGTCAAAGAAACACCTAACACCTAGTAGGAAGGCCACGGCCCCACAATGTCCACCGCCATTGACCACGCCGACGACATTCTTTTTGCGTCGTCTCTCCGGCGATGAGGACGTTGAGCTCCGGCCTGTTCAATGCACAACCTGCAATCTCTGCGGAACGGTCGATGACCTTGGCGAAAGTGACGCTTCCACATGTCCTGCTCCTTTTGAGACAGGCTGACAGGCGGGCCAACTTCGGCACACCATCATAGACCACCTCCAAGAAGATCCTCAGCGACTCCCGAACCGCAGCACGTAGTCCTGGAGCCCACAATGCCCATGACTTAGAAGCCAAGATGCTATCGTTGACGTCGTTGGGAAGAGGATCATCACCACCAGGAGCTGCTCGAAGACCATGAAGCTCCTGAAGTCCAGGCAAGTTGGTGAGCAGCGTTGTCGGTTTACGCCTGCTATGACCAACTCGTCGTTGATCGAAGGTCACCAAGCCCATGCCTTCTTCTTGAAGAAGTTGTTGAAGCTCAGGCCAAGCCCAGAAGGATGGGACCTTCGAACCACCATCCATCATCTTCACCGGGTCCTCCGGCGATTCTAAGAGAAAGCCCGTGCCCCGCTTATTGATCTGCACCGCCTTGCGTGTCTCCTCCGCCATGAGGTACAGGCCAACTTGCTTTAGGACGAGAGCCGTGTCGCAGTCTGTTGCTTTTCCCAGGCCAAAACGCCTCGAAGCGGCCTTGGACCAGGACGTCGAAACCTGAGACGCGAAACCGTCCGACATGGAGGGCCTCCAATAACGGCGGCTACTGCGCCCCTTCGCGCCAACTGCATCAAAAATGCCCAGAGCACCGGGTTGTGGACATCCTCCGCCTTGCTGTTCGCCAGGTCAACCGCGATGACATCGCACCCGTGCTCCTCCAACTGCTTCCACTCCGCCGCGTGTTCACCAGCGTACAAGTGGATCACCACCTTCTTTGACCGAAGATACCTCCTCCTTCGCCCCGTTCCACGGCAATGAGCTTGTATTCCCGGTTGAACGCTAAGGAGAACCGGTGCTTTCATTGTTCGGGGGCTGGTCATTCAAAAAAGGATTGCCCGCACCTGACCTTCAAAAAGGAGCCCGACACAGAGGACGCCAAGAAGCCTGCCAAGGTGACGGGAAAAGGGAAGCCATCCTCACCTGAAAAGGGCTCGGCGGAGACGGTGGTTAGCTCCCCTGAAGTACCTCGGGGTGAGAAGGTGGTGGACAAGGACTCGGTGATGGGTCTGGTTGGTGATGGTGCGGGGGAGAAGCAGGCGACGGAGGCCTTCGGCTTGTTGGACGGTGGGGCGACTCACCCTCTCAGAACGGCCCGACCTGGTGAATTGGACCATGCGGTTCAGGTGAATGTGGAGCTAGCTCATGGTTCTGTGACCCTTCACCCGGATGAGCGGACAGGTACTTTGTTGTCGGCGGAGCCCTGTGAACCCATTGCGCCGGTGCGTGGTCTCATTGACCTTGGCTATAAACTCACCTGGTCGCGCAGTGGATGTGTCATCGAGCACCCTCGACGTGGTCGAATTGCCTCGCACCTACGGGATGGTTGCCCCGCGGTCAAGGAGGAGGATGCTTTGGCCTTGATTGAGGAGATCGAGGCGGTGGAGCTCAAGAAATACATGGATGTGTTGAAGGAGGGTGACGTGGATGCGGAGCTCATGGATTGGTGGTGTGCACATTTCCCTCAAGTTCAACCTCGTATCTTCCGGTTTATGGTCCGTGCGCCAGAATCGACAGGCATTCTTGTCCCCCACGTTCTTGGTCTTCACGTCCACCATCGCAGCGTTGTTGACCGCCCCACCCAACACTGAATTTGACCCCATCGCCATAGCCTTCACCGTCGGCGCTGACGTCTTCGAGGTCGTTGTAGTCGCGGAGGCCACCAACATCTCCTCCGCCTCAGCTTGCAGCATCTCTGCAAATGTCTTCACCGAGTCCATACTCAGACGAGTATCCACCTGCAGCTGTTGCCTGCAGAGTGACAAGCGGTACGCCGTCTGCGCACCAGACTTGGCCAGATGGTCAGAAACTCCTTCGCCAGCACACCAGCCAAAACCACAGGGTCAGGTAGAAGAACTCCCAGCTGCTCCGCCCGACTCCACCAACGCCTCCAATGGCGCACATTCTGCGTCACTTCTGCCAGGGACCCCGTCACCTTGATGTCCGTGAGGTACTTGATCAAGTTGACGCGTTCACCTTGACCCCCCGGCTGGTACTTGATGTACAGGGCAAAGAGGATCTACGCAACCTGCATCTTCCTCGCTGCCACCACCTCCGACTTCAACTCCGGAGGAATAGCCTGCAACAAAAGGCTGACCATTTTGCGTTCCGTGCGTGGCCACATAGTCGCCGCCGCATCATTGTTCGGGCACAGCCTCAACCGCTGAAGAGGATCTGCCGACAGCCACATCGCGTAGGCATCTCCCACGCTCTTCAAACCGCCATTGGCTGGCCTGCTGACTCAACTCAGCCACAACCGGCTC